CATTGTATAACTTATTTTCCTGTACTCCATTTCCTATACTGTACTTTACATCCCCATGGCTATTCTGTAACTAACTATTTGTACTTATTTAATCTCCTCCCACAATCCCCTCCCATCTGGCAGCCATGCTCTCTGTATCAATGATTCTGTCTCAGTTCTTGTTTGCTTAGTTTTTTAATTCAGTTGTTGATAGTCCTGGCTGATGTGGTTCAGTGGATCGAGTGCCAGCCTGTGAATTGAAAGGTTGCCAGTTCCATTCCCAGGCAGGGCACATGCCTGGCTTGTGGGCCAGCTCCCACTTGGGGGGATGCGAGAGGCAAAAGATTGATGTATCTCTCACACATTGTTTATCTTTCTGCGCCCCTTTTCTTTAAAAAGAAATAAAATCTTTATAAATACATAAAATTTTTACCCTCTTTTGGTGTGGCTCAGTGGATTGAGTGCCAGCCTGTGAACCAAAGGGTTGCTGGTTCGATTCGCTGCCCAGGCACATGCCTGGTTGTGGGCCAAGACGCCAGTTGGGGGCAAGCAAGAGGAAAACATTCAATGTTTCTCTCACAAATCAATTCTCTCCCTCTCTTTCTCTCTCCCTCTCTCTCTGAAAATAAATAAAATCTTAAAAAAAAAAATAGATCTCTTGCTGCAACAATGAGAATGGGAGCCAGGACCTGGATTTGGCAGCCAAGGCCAAGGATTGTTTTAAGAAAATGCTAGACAAAGTGGACATGGGGGAAATCGTCAGCTTCGATAAGGCCGAGCTGAAGAAGACAGAGACCCAGAACACCCTTCCTACCAGAGAAACAATCGAACAGGAGAAGCGGGGTGAAATTTCTCAAGATCCTGGAGGATTTCCAACCCCTATCCTCTTCGGGACCCCAGCTGTGGAGGAAAAGCTACTTGCAAAATGGACACAAGCGACAAACTGCACTGTGAACCCAGGCATTCTGTGCCCAAACCATCAGCCTGTGGGTTTCTGAGGGGACCCATCTCCATTCGAACTGCCAAATTTTCCAGTTTGCCCTGGGATATTGTAGAAAATTATTTGTATGATTAATAAAAATAAAACACATCTTGTGGCAAAAAAAAACGTCAAAAATATATTAAAAAATAAGTTGATAGGTATGTATATATTGCCATTTTATTGTTCATAGTTTTCATCAGCTTTATCTTAATTATCATTTCATATAATGGTTTGGGAAGCTTTTTATCTGCAGTTTGATTCTAAATGATAGCTTTGTTGGGCAGACCAAGCTTGACTTTAGGTCCTTACTTTTCATGACTGAATATTTCTTGCCAATCCCTTGTAGCCTGTGAGGTTTCTTTTGAGAAATCAGCTGGCAGTGTTATTGTAAATTCCCTGTAGGTAACTAACTTTTACCTTTGTTGCTTTTAAGATTCTCTCTTTAACTTTTTGTCATTTTAATTGTGTCTTGGAGTGGGCCTCTTTATATCCATCTTTTTTGGGACTCTCTGCTTCCTGGACTTGCATGTCTTGCTTCCTTCACCAAATTGGGGAAGCTTCCATTATTTTTTAAAACAGATTTCCAATTTCTTGCTCTTTTCCTTCTGGCACCCATATGAAGCAAATGTTGGATCCTTTGAAGTTGTCTCAGAAGCTGCTTATACTACCCTCATTTTTTTGGCTTCTTTTTTCTTTGTTCTAATTGGTGGTTTTTTGCCTGTTTCAAATCATTGATTTGATTCTTCGCTTATCTACTCTACTGTCTTTTTCCTGTAATTTGTTCTTTTTGTTCCTCCCCAAGGCTTGTGGTTTTGATTTTTCATTTATTTATTTTTAGAGAGGGGAAATATCAGTGTGTGGTAGCCTTTCATGTCCCCAACTGGGGATCTGGCCTGCCACCCAGGCATGTGCCCTGACTGGGAATTGAACTGGTGACTCTGGTTCACAGGCTGGAACTCAATCCCCTGACCCATACCAGCCAGGTCCGTAAATTGTTCTTTAATCAGTGTATTCTTTGTTTCTGACTGGATTATTTTTATGCTCTTGTGTTCCTCTTAGTTTCTTAAGCATCCTTATTACCAGTGTTTTGAACTCTGAGTCTGATAGATTGCTTATCTCCATTTCCTTTAGCCCTTTTCCTGGAGTTTTGATCTGTTCTTATTTGTGCCATGTTTGTCTCATTTGGCAGCCTCCCTGTTTGTTTCTGTGTATTAGGTAGAGCTGCTTTGGCTCTGTGTGTTGGCAGTGTGGCCCAATGTAGTAGTAGAGGTCTTCTGCATTCCAGTGGCATAGCCTCAGAAAGGGGGTATTGGAAGTCTGTGCTTTGCGTGGGGTGACTATGCCCTCCTCTTGTAGTTGAGTTTTGGTTGCTATTGTCAGGTCAGTGGGAGAGATTTCCAGGCCAGTCAGCTGCAAGGACTGGCTGTGACCAATTAACCACCAACCTCCACCCTCTGGAGGATCAGCTGTACTGGGTAGAGTGGTGGTGCTCTAACATAGTCTGTAGCTATCCACTGGGTGTGCTGCTCCCTGGGTTTTTCTGGGTGGTGCAGGCCAAGATCAGCTTCCATTTGTGTTTTGCCTGGGACCACCCTTCCTGAGTTGTAAAGCAATATGAGATGGCAACTACTTCTGCAGAGCTTGGAGATTCCCAGGTAAAACCAAGTGAATAAAGGGTGACTGCTGCTTGTGCCAGGCCTGGGGCTTACAAAGGCCAACAGTTGCATGTTTGAGAGGATTAAGGAAGATGTGAAATGTTGAGCCAAGACCAGCCATTCATAGAAAAAGCAGCTGGTATGAGACCAGAAGTTGGGTGGGGTGGAATCTCTGGGATCGCCAAGGCTTTAGCCAGATTGATGGAGTCTCAGATATGGCACCAGCTTGCCAGCTTTTGGTTCTGTGTGGGGATGGTTTAGAATAGGGACAATGGCCTCTGCTTACCTTGATAGTAGACCCTTTAGATTCTCCCTGTATGGCACTGATGCTTTTCAAGGTGCCGTAGTGCTGGAGCCCACAGTGAGTCTAAGTCTGCGTGAGGATTCTTTAAGAATCCCTACTGGTTTTTGCAGCCAGTTGTGGAGACTTATTTCTTGGCACTGGAATCCTGGAGTGGGGGCCCTGTGTGGAAGATATCCCTTGCCAATTTTTTCAAATACACATGGGTGAGGGAATAGCCCATTTCATGTGTGCCCCTCCTACCAGTCTGGAGAAATGTGGTTTCTTCAATTCTGTAGTTGTCAGAGACTTCCAATCAACTTGATTTCTGACCATCTGAGTGATAGTTCTATATTTTAGTTATATCTCTGATGTGGTTTGCAGAGGTGAGCCATGATGTATGCATATACCACCTTGACTGGAAGTCTCTGCATTTATTTTTTATGAGGAAATTTTCACCCTGGCTGGTGTGTCTCAGTGGATTGAGCGCTGGCCTGTGAACCAAAGGGTCCCCAGTTTGATTCCCAGTCAGGGGACATGCCTGGGTTGTGTGCCAGGTCCCCAGTAGGGGGCACATGAGGGGTAACTACACATTGATGTTTCTCTCCCTTTCTTCCTGTTTTCCTTCCCTCTCTCTAAAAATAAATAAAATCTTTTAAAAAAAAGGAATTTTCATTTGATTCACAAGTAGAAGAGGGCTCAGGGAACAAGACAGAATCACACGAGGGACCCTTGGAGGTTAGGAGAAGGAAAGGGCAGAGATTATCTACAGGGTGGAAGGGATGAAGAGGCAAGAAAAGGCATGCCAGAATGCACTTGGAGGAGTGGGGGAGCAGGCTTTGGTCAGGGGAGGTTACAGTGCTGTGCTGGTATTGGGGTTCAGGAAAGCAGTACATGTTCTCATTGCTATAGGAGTTTGTGAACATCTGAGGGAAGAAAGAGCACCTGAGAAACAAGAAAGACAAAACTCACAGTGAAGTTTCCATGTAGGAGCTCATTGTTCCTGACTCCTGTGACAGTCAAGGATGTTCTTTTGAGCATTTCAAGGTCTTTATGCCCGTGAAGGTGGTGGGAACAGTTCAAGGGTCACACTAATTCATGTGAAGGTACACTGTCAAAATGCAGACATGAGTCCTCCATGTAATGTCACCTGACAGAGCAACTCAGAGCACAAGCAGGGCCAGGACAACATGGCTGCTTTTTAAGTTAACATTGTGTTCCCAGTCCCAGGCTGTGTCTGCTTTTTTTCTAACATCTCTGGATTTAGGACCTGCAGCATTTAATAGAGTTCTTCCTGTGTAGAGTGAGGTTTTCAGCTGGTTATTGTTTTCCTTTGCTTCTTATAATTGTCAATGTCAGCTCTTAAGAAAACTTGTTCTTTGTCCCAAAACCTTGTTTACATTTTCTCTATCGAGACTCCATGAAAGCATAAAGAATCTGGAAGTAATGACCAGCTACTGAACACATCCCCTCTGTGACAGATCAACCTGTGTTGGGATGGGCCCAGAGGTTCTGGTATCAGTGAAGGGACATGTTAGGTTTTAAGTTCTCGTGGCTGCAGCATCAGCTCTGTAGACCAGGATAAGAAAATGCACATTCTACTGGTCAGGGTAGCCCAGAAAGTTCTGAGGAAGAAGAGCAGATAGAAGAGACTTGCTCACTATATTGGTCAGACAGACTTGCTATCTAAAGGCACTATTAGAATTCCTGAACATGGGAAGTATGTGTGGATTTACATTTGCACTCAAAGGTAGCTCTTTAGTATACATCTTTCCTGTGCCCCAGAGCTTCTGTCTGTCCTCTTCATCCTGACTTTCCATGTGGCGTGAACAATTCTCCTTTTGTGACAGATGAACGTAAGAATGTGTTGATATCTGAGATGCCAATTTGGGGTGGGGTTGGATACTAGAGTACCTGTGAAGAACATTTCATGTCTGGTCCCACCTGGATGCTCAATTTGTTGCACTGTAGACCAGGATTAACAAAAAGCATAAACAGGATGAATATATGGTTCCCAAAACTCAACTTTCTGAAGAAGAGAGTCTCTCTGCTTAGAATGCTAAAATAAAAGACTTAGTTTAAAAATAAAAGACTTATGGGAAGATCAGTTTGTTAGAGCATTGCCTCAAAACACAAAGGTTGCTAGTTTTATTTTTAGGGAACATACAAGAATTAACCAATGGATTAAAAAATAAGTACAGCAAATTGAGGTGATGTGCCCCATATCGTGTCTAGTATAAGTTTAAAAAGATTAGGTTTGTCAAATCTGTTCATACATGGAGAGCAAGACTCTGAGCATAGCTAACACTTGAGGGCCTGAGGGCCTGAGGGCCTGAGCCCCTGGGCCTTGATTCTAGCTACCCCTCTGTGGGATGTAAGGCCCTTCCTGCCTTGTTCAGGATGAGCCCAGGACCAGAAAGGCCAGAGGGATGTATGGATTTGGGGCTCAGGGAGCCCAGAAGAGAAGACTGGTTTAAGTTGGAAATTTAAGGCATATAAATACAGGGGAAAATCAAGCCCCTTGTTTTAACACCCACAGCATTTAGTTGTTACACCCCCACCCCCCCCCAAGAAACTTACTCAGTGCCTGCTGCATACGAGGCACATGGCCAGTGCTGTAACATGAGGTCAAGTGTCCAGGACACATTGTGGGGGTGCCTAACTCTGCTAGAAGTATAGGAAGGGTTTTCCTCAGGAGGATAATTTAATGTTGGATAAGACATCACTCATGATTAAAAGATTTGGCACATATGCTACATTTATATTGTTTCTCTACAATATGCAAGACAGGATGTGGAGTAAATTTTGAGGTTTAAAGATTTTGCCACCTCCATGTTTATAAGACTTATCTCAAGTATGATTACTCTGATGATCAGTAAGGGTTGAGGACCACTTCAATACTTGGTATATTCCCTACATTAACACGACTCCTCTCTGGTATGAATTCTCTGAGGTTTAATAAGGGTTGAGGAGTGTATAAAGGCTTTATCACATTTGTTACACATATAATGCTTTTTCACCAGCATGAATTCTATGATGTTGCATAAGGGTGGGGGACTACATAAAGGCTTTGCCACATTCTGTGGATTTATAAGATTCCTCTCTACTATGAATTTTCTAATGAGTACTAAGCTTTAATGACTGGCAAAAGACTTTTGCACATTCATTACATTTATAAGGCTTCTCCACAGTATGAATTTTGTTGTGTGTAGTAAGGGAGGAGGAAAACCTAAAGGCTTTCTCACATTATCTACATATGTAAGGCTTTTCACCAGTATGAATGCTCCAACATTTAGTAAGCTTTGAGAACCAGCTAAAGGCATTACCACATTTGTTGCATGTGTAAGGTTGCTCTTCAGTATGAATTCTCTGATATTAATGTATGAAGGGTGGCTGAATTCTTTGCCACAGTCTCTACATTTATAAGACTTCTCTCCAGTATGACTTTCCTGATGCAGAGTAAGATTTTAGGATTGGATAAAGGCTTTACCACGTTTTCTACACTTATAAGGCTTCTCTCCAGTATGAATTTTCTTATGTTTAGTAAAAGAGGAGGAAAACCTATAGGCTCTCCCACATTGTTTACATATATAAGGCTTTTCACCAGTATGAACTCTCTGATGTTGAGTAAGCTTTGAAGACTGGCTAAAGGCTTTACCACATTCTTTGCATATATAAGGTTGCTCTCCAGTATGAATTCTCTGATGCTGATTAATGTATGAAGCTTGGCTAAATGCTTTGCCACATTCTCTACATTTATAAGGCTTCTCTCCAGTATGAATTTTCTGATGCATATTAAGGTTTGAGGATTGGATAAAGGCTTTACCACATTCTGTGCATTTATAAGGCTTCTCTCCAGTATGAATTTTCCTATGCTGACTAAAGTTTGAAGAGTTGCAAAAGGCTTTACCACATTCTGTACATTTATAAGGCTTCTCTCCGGTGTGAATGTACTGATGTTCAACAAGGGTTGAGGAGCGACCAAATGCTTTACCACATTCTCTACATTTGTAAGGCTTCTCTCCAGAATGAATTCTCTTATGTTGACTAAGGTTGGAAGAGTAGTTAAAGGCTTTACCACATTCTATACATTTATAGGGCCTCTCTCCAGTATATATTTTCTGATTTAGAGGAAGACCCAAAGGCCAATTATATGTTTTACCAAATTCTTCCCATTTATCTTTTTCTCCACTACAGATGTTCTTAACATTGTTTAGATTAAATAGTTTACGGAACACTTTCTCACATGGCAAACATTTGTAAACTTCCTTCCCAATAGGAATATTTTGTTCAGTACTATTTGAAGATTGCTTCAAAATTTTGACATATTTCCTTTGTTTGTTTGTTGTCTCCACAATAGGAATAACCTGATGTGTAATGTGATTTGGCATTTGGTCACAGACGTTTTCACCTTCATAATGGTTCTTGGGAAGATGAGTATTCTGATATTTGGTAGGATTTGACCTGTGGTTAAAAAATTTTCCATCTTCATTGCACTGATAACTTCTGTCTTCATCATATGTACTCTGGTAATCAATGAAGATAGAGGCCTTTAGTGACACCTATAATTTCATTAATCATTTAACTTATTCCAAAATAATCATTCTGTGATTCCTATTAAACTATACTGGTTGTATTAAAAATCACTCGCAAGTTCATGAAAATTTTATATTGGAAGAAAACCATTATTTCTTAATGAAGTATGGTAGTTCCTTAATAAAGGGATGACTAAACTGATCACATTGAAATTTTACATGTGCATTAGAATCCACTAAGTTTTATAAATTATTAACTGAAAGTTTAATCCCACTCTCCATTTCAGACAATTGAATGATCATTCACACAACAAATTATGAGTTACTAGATTTTCTAGGCTGCTTTTAGAAGACTATATGCACTTAGAAAATTGTTTCCTTAGTATATATATAATATACACACTTAGAAAATTGGGAAATACATCAATCTACAAATGTAACTGACTTAAAGTGGGAGTTTTCCCAAATGTGTGCTATTTTTCACCTCTTTAGGTAAAAAGGACTTTATTATGAATAATTATCCCAAGTAAGTTCTGTGCATTTTGACATCCTTTTATCTTGTCTCACACTTTATCAGGTTTTCAATACGTTATCAAAGGCACAAAATTCATATCTTACCAGTATTACCTTAGAGATTAAATCTTCTATTCCTGGCTTTTGCAACAAGTCCTGATTGTGTTCATATGACATAGCTGCAATACAGAAAATAACGGATCACAGGTATCACACTCAGGTAAATGTACACTGAAATGAGAAACTATTGAATAAATTACATTATTGAGTACTTCAGAAAAAGTGTAATGTTCAAAGCAAAACCAAGAAAGGTACAATGAGAAAAAGTCACATCAAAAAAGGAAGAAATAGCCCTGACTGGTGTCGGTCAGCAGTTTCAGTGCCTACCTTCGAACCGAAGGGTTGGTGGCTCAATTCCCAGCTGGGGCACATGCCTGGGTTGCAGGCCAGGTCCCCAGTACAGGACACGTGAGAGGCAACCACACATAGATGTTTCTCTCTCTCTTTCTCCCTCCCTTCCCCTCTCTCTAAAAATAAGTAAAATTTTAAAAAAGGGTAAGAAACAGTTGCTTACATTTGGTAATAATACTGCCCCCAAATGCTTAAGATTGTCTCACCTTTAGACCAGCCCCATGAAACATCAGTTTTGAAAAATTTTCTAGATGTAATAAGTAAAATCGTAAACACTGCATCTTATAAACATATAAAACTTTTGCGCATATAAATGCATACACTAATATAAAAGTCAGTAATGGTCTAATGACCAATTACAAGTCACTTCAATATTTCCTAGATAACTTTCAATAATACAAGTCATAAAATCTTATATCCATTTTATAATATACACAACATAAAAGATATATTGTGATACCAAAGACATAAGGAGGTAGAGGTGTATAAATGGCAAGTAGTAGACAATTTTTGTATGCAACCGATGCCATCAGTTTAAAATTTATTATTCTAGCCTTAAGATGTTTTCCGTACCCCCACCATGGTAACAATAAAAAGAAAAATAATAATAAAATGATCTTAGTTAACTGATGAGAAAATTGTGTACTGCAAAATCATACTGAATCCATGTTAAAAAAATGACAGAAATGAAACATTTTGAAACTGCAAAATATAACAGCAGCCCATAAAATTAGTTGTTTACATTAACAGAAATTAACATACACACAAAAAACAAGAATGTAATTACATTATCAATGGTAAATCAGGATGATATTTAAGACTTATCTTCTTGAAAAACCTGCATGACTTATATGATGAAAGTGTAAAACATTGCTGGTCATAATTTTTAAGAAATCAATAAATGAAAAGTTTGCAGGTATCTTCAATATCAACCACCGTCATGAGTAACACAGTAAATATCTGGAGCAGGATGTTCATGACCAATAGACTACTTCACAAGAAACAAGTGGTCATTAACATCCTTTACTCTGGTAAGTCAACAACATGCAATGAAGAAAATCAAGAAAAACTAGCCAAACTGTGTATGGCCACACTAGATGTCATCTTTGTGTTTGGATTCAGAACCCATTTTGGTGGTGGAAGACAACTGGCTTTGTTACGATTTATGATTTCATAAATCATACCCCCCCAACACAAGATTTATATGACATGGGCCATATAAAAAGACCTCAGGAATACAGAGATAGGAATGTAAAAGCACGATAAACAATATCAAGGCAACTGCCAAGGCCAATGTTGGTCCTGGCAAAAAGAAGCAGTCAAGGATCTTCTGGCACTTTATTGGTGGTGATTATGTAGATTTTTCATGACAGGATTAATTAACTAATAAGTTTAAGAAAATTATCCCATGATCCTAAACTGAAATGCTAGTAGTATAAGGCCTCAGTCATACTCAACATGATCTAAACATTCCAAGAGTTAGCTATCAGCCCTGGCTGATGTGGCTCAGTGGACTGAGTGCTAGTCTGCAAATGTGAAGGTTGCCAGTTCAATTCCCAGTCAGGGAACATGCCTGGGTCTACAGTTTGGCCTAGGCTGGGGCACAAGTAAGACACAATCATTGATGTTTCTTTCTCATATCAGTGTTTTTCCATCTCTCTTTCCCCTCTCTCTAAAACTAAATAAAATATTTACAAAAATTAATATACACAGGGTACCATGCAACAAACATAATTATAGGAATAAAGTGTACAGTTAAGGGCATCGTGCCTTCTGATTTTAAAACATGTCAAAGCTGCTGTTATCAAAAAAGTATATTACAAATATTAAGACAGATGTAAATAATGAAGCACAGTGGACTAAAGAGCCTACGTACAACTTCTGGATAAGGCCAAATGACCTTCAACAAGTGTGATTATTCTAAAAATTAAGAAAAGTATTCTCATTCTGACTGAGCAGCTCAGTTGACTGGACAGTCCTGATAGACATAATGGTTTGTCTAGTCTTCAGTTAGAGCACATACAAAAAGCAATCAATGAGTACAAAAATAAGTGGAACAACAAGTCAATGCTTGTCTCCCCATCTTCCTTCTCTCTTTCTGTAATCAACAAAAATAAAGTATACAATATTTCTGGCTATATCTAAAGAAAATCTCCAACCAGAATGCTTATACCACAAAATAAGAAAAGGACATTCTCATAAACAAATAGTGTTGAGAAAGTTACATGTCCACATGTAAAAGAGTGAATTGGACCCTTTACCTAAATAGTATGCAAATATTAAATCACAATGGAAAAAAGACAAACATAAAGCTGATAACTCTAAATCTATTAAATGAAAAGGTAGGGAAAAACATTTTTAAAGATTATTTATTTTTAGAGAGAGGGAAAGGGAGGCAGAGAAACATCTATTGGTTGCCTCATAAGCATCCCCATTTGGGGACCTGGCCTGCAATTCAGGCATGTGCCTTGACTGGGAATCGAACTGGCGAGTCAGTTTCACAGGCTGGCACTCTATCCACTGAGCCACACCAGCCAGGCTGGAAAAAATTCTGATATTTTTGTTTATTCCTTGTAACACCAAAAAGTAAACAAACCAAATGAGAAAGAAAAATAAAGAAAACAAAACTCTGCAGGTTGAACAGGAAATCTAGAAGTCATCCTCACCTAGGGAGACCAGGTTCTTGTAGTTCTCCAACATCACATCCGTGTACAATTTCCACTGAGCTGGGTCCAGGAACTCTAACTCCTCCTGAGAGAAATCTACTGCCACATCTCTGAAGGTCAATGATCCCTGATGAAAAGGACACTTTTACACTGGAGCCACAGACCAACTTCATACTGTCATTCAACATAAAAACAGCTTTAGGAAAAGTGGTTTTGATCTAGGAGAGTACCCTGAATTATCTCATAAAATCATACTGACCCAAAATATTCTCTAATGTATTTTATAACACTGAGGAATGAGGATGAGACAGGTTCACAAATCCACTGCAGACCCTTTTCTTTTCATGAAAATAAACATTAAAATGAAGGAATAGACACAGGTATATAGGTTGTTGAGTGTTGTGTTTTTTTCCTTCACCATCAATTGTGGATCTTTTCCAGCTGGAAAAGACATGGTGAATTGAAAGTGTCATATTTAATTCAGACAACAAAGACCTGTAGATTTGTAAAAATGCAGATTCTGATTCAGAAGTTCTGAGATGGGGCCTGTATTTTCACATCTTTAATAAGTTCACTTTTTATTAGTGACAGCAATGTCTTTGGTGCCATACTTTTGAATAGCACACACAAAAGAAAACATAAAAGAATTCACACATGACATTGAGCTGAAGAACTTGTATAAGAGTTACAGTTCTAAATAAATAAGACACATAGAACCACAGTTTTTGAAAATTCTGTACACATAATCTTAAAGATTATTATTTTCCCTCTGTTATGAGAATAGTTTCTGAAACATAATGGGCAGACTTTGACTTTTACTCAAACTTGATCTACAACTTTTCAAAAAAACTGGCAGATACAGTGAACATGTCATGAATGTCCACAGCAGTTCTTTAACAGAAGAATGAAAGCATCTTAAGAATACAAAGACTAAGTATCTCAAATGTTAACATTTTATGCAGACAGACAACATACATATGGAAACTAAGTATAAATGAAATGTGATAGAAAACAGAATTTTCATGTCAATGAAGATTATTTTGCCATTGTGTAAATCTCATAAATCTGCTACTTATGGATGATACCCTTTGTGTTTTATAAATACAGTAAGTATAGGAACACACATGATGATAAAAGAAGTTAAAGCTGGTGTTAGTTTTTTATTTTCATATTTCTGGGTATCATTAGTAGAAAGCTATACTTAGAAATTTAACTGATTGAACATACATTCTTGTAAAGTCTTGAAAATATGAAAAGTAGAGTTAGCCTGTAGCATGTGTGGAATATAAGGAAAATTTACAGAAGAAGATCTGATTAATTAAATCCTCTACCTGTAAAGCCAATAATCTCTATGAAATGAATTGATGGCCTTCTTTTTCCAAAGGAAAGAGAAACAAAGAAGAGGGAAGTTTCCAGATGAAATGTGATCCTTTGGGCACATCTCTCAATAATTCCCTGCTGGACCCTCATTAATGATGGGAAGCTCGTAACTAAATAGTGAAGAGCACCTCATTGAGTTGATCATCAGGTGGACTGGAAGAATGGATACCAGGTGACTGAGGCACATGGGAAGACATGTCACCACTGCTGTGACATTATTGGCAAAAATAAAAATACACAAATCATTATGTGAAAATGATCATAAATGAATATTAAATTTTGCAAATGTCAATGCACATGTACCTTCCACTTTTTTCTACACAAATACTGTATTGCATTTAAACTATAAGAATTTTGTACCAAAGTAGTAAGCAGTTATGTTCTATGTGCTTTCTCCTTTGTCAGAACTCCCCTCTGCTGACCAGTAAAATGTGTATTTTCTTACTCGTGGTTTACAGAGCTGATGCTGCAGCCACATGAACCTAAAGCCTACATTTACCTTCTTTTTTGATATCCCACCCTCTGAACTCATCCCAATAGGGGTGTTGGACATGAGTGCCTTCCAGGTTGATCTGTCACAGAGGGGATGTGTTCAGTAGTTGAAGGTCATTAATTCAGGAGGGGAATTCCTCATGTGTTTGAGGAAACTGGATAAAGAGAATGCAGAAAAGGCTCTGGTACAATGGACAGAAATATATAAATTGCTGGCTTTGACAGTCATAAGAAAAAGAAAAACTAAGTAGATAAAAACAACTTCACTAGGCAAGAACATTAGAATGGAAAAAATAAAGACTACCCATTCTTAAACTGATTTTAGGAGGAAAAACAAACACAGTCTCTGGTCCAGGACACATTGTTTACCTGAGAAGCAGCCATGACACCCTGCTCCTGCTGTGGGTTGTTTTCTCCTGGAATGACATGCTGAGGAGTCACACCTGCATTTTGACACTGTGCCTTCAAAGGCCTCAGCACAGACATTTTAATCTGCTTCCACCACACTCACAGGCAGGAGAACCTGGAAACGATGAAAAGGCCACTCTCTCCTGTCCTTTGTCACAGGAGAGTCAATAACAAAGAGCTCATACATGGAGACTACACTAAGTTTTTTCTTCTTTTCAGGTGCTGTCTCCACCCACAGATGTCCAAAAACTCCTACGAGAACGTACATTGCTCTCCTAAACCCCAAACCCCATCCTGTTACTTCCTCTGACCAAAGCCTACTTCTCATTGTCACATATGCATCTAGGCATGCCTTTTCTTCCCTTTCCCTCCCATCCTGCAGATAATCTTTACCTTTCTTTCTCCTAAGCTACAAGGGCCCTTCTTCAGACTTTGTCTATTGTTCCCTGACCCCACTTCTTTTATGTATGTCTAAGTATAAAAATTTTTTTAAATAATTTTTTTTAGTAAAAAAATTTTTATAAAAAATAAAATGCATGCCGTGTCCTGGTGACTCAGTTGGTTACAGCATCTTCCTGTACACAGAAAAGGTTGTGAGTTTGATTCCAGATCAGAGTACTTATCTAGACTGCAGCTTTGATACCTGCAGGGTCCAGGCCTATTGATGTTTCTCTTTCACATCAGTGTTCCTCCTTCCCTCTCTCATCAATAAGCATATACTTGGATAAGAATTTGTTAATTTAAAAAAAAAAAAAGCTTTCCTGCTGATCCCTGAACACACCATATTATTTCCTGGAGCACTTGATTAAACGATGCTCCACCCAAGAAGTTGTCCAACTCTGTGGAGGATGACACACCTCATGTCATTTGTCAGAACTTCTCAGGTGATTTAACAAGACTCTGAAGGGAAACAGTATAGCTTTAATAAGGATGTAGACCTTAAGGTAATGAGGGCTCCACTCTGTTATAATCCTGTAGGTCTCCAATGCAGCCCATGATGAAATGGCATCTTGATCTAGTTCCCTCCTGGTGCGCATGTTGCTCCCCCAGAGCTATTTTCTATAGCACTAGGCCAGACTTATCAGACCCATCACCCCTCAGACCTCTGGGTACTGTGAGGACTTTGGGGAGAAACTTCTAAAATGACAGGCTCCCAGAGCAAAAAATTTTTCTTATTATCCAGGAAAAAACAAGTAATTGCATTAAAAACATTAAATGATAAATGCAAGTTTTGATGCTGAAACCTTTAAAAAAATACTAGCCATGAAAACATGTCTATCAAATTACATAATCAAGAGATATGCTTTTGCCCTGGCTGGTGTGGCACAGTGGATTGAGTGGGAGCATGGGAACCAAAGGGTCACAGGTTGGATTCCCACTCAGGGCACATGCCTGGGTTGCAGGCCAGGTACCCGGTAGGGGGCAACAAAAGGCAACCACTTATTGTTTCTCTCCCCCTCTTTCTCCCTCTCTACCCCTCCCTCTAAAAATAAATAAAATCTTAAAAATATATATATAGGTGGGCTTTCTGAAACTACATTTCAGGTCAATTCAGTCCATCTTTTAATATATTCAGAGAAAGGAAAAGTTCTGAGAGGAACAACTCCTTTGTGGCTCAGTTACTAATTCAACAAATCACACAAATTCATGAAAAAAGCTGCTGAATATTAGATGAATTTATAAAAATAGGTTCTGACTATTAAGATTATAGACATCCTTACCAAGAACACATTGAAATAGCCTGATATTACTGACTAAGTACTAATGTATGTTCCAACATATTATAAACAGTACAAAGTAAGCAGGGCTCAGATTTTAAAGTGGGCACGATAAATTTAAAAGAAAAACTAACCTGGAATTTTTTAAACGAGTTCTATGGTCAAAATTTTAAAATGTTGAGGCTACTTCACACTTAGAAAAGAATGTCATGTGCTAGTTAACAGATATCACCAATACTTATTTCAGAAGTGAATGACTATCTGCACAAAAACAAATACTACAGGTGTATCTCAATGTGAGATGCAAAAGGATAAAAGTAAATTCAGTGTGCTGCAAGAAAAGACAAGACCCTATGCTTTTAATGTTCCTGGAAAATATCATGTAGTGACAGACTTACTCATTTCTTCTCCCAAGTCACCTGTCTCTTCCCATCCCAGGAAATGACAAGGGACCCATGACTGCCAGACAAGTCTTTGATGTCTGAGTAAATAGAGCTTGCAATTGAAAGTAATAATTATAAAATTCACGAGCCTTACAAACTGGACATTTGTAATCCTCATTCAAATCTGTTTAACTGAAACAATTCGGCAAATGTTAAACTATATAAGATTATAAAGCCACAAGCCCACAAATCACAACGTTTTCCTCCACATCCCCTCAAGCAGCCATTCATTCACACCTGGTTTCTCCATCTTCTGCTACTTCGTATTTGTGTAAGGAACTGTTTGGGTCTCTTCCGTGTTTCTCTGCACTGTTGTCCTTTCCTGTGTTTCCTCTCTCCCTTCCCTGCTCTTTCTCCCCTTTTCTGTAACCCTGTACCTACACCTGTTCCCTCAAACAATTACTCGTTCAAACCTATTTCACCTTCACTTGCTCGTTCTCCATGATATTTCTTAATCTCCCATCTCCATACACTTGTGTCCCCTGCACATGTCTGTGTTCCCTGTGCTGCCTCAGTTACAGTCTTTCCTGTCCCCCGCTGGCTGACTCTCAGCGCTGTTTCTCACTCTGATCCATCAACTCGAACCCTCTTTTTTTCTCCGGTCTCGCTCCCCCAGTTGATCTCCTGAGAACCACTCCCTCCGTCTGAAGTGCCTCGCTCCCACGTCGGTTGGCTACTCCTCCCGCTAGTTTCCCCACATACCCTTTCACTCCTACGTAGCGGCCCGTCCCTCCCCCATCCGAGTTGCCCCCTCTAATGGCCCCTCACCGACCTTTTCTCCCCCTCACGTGCCCGCCTCTCTTTCCGGCTCCCGATCCCCTCACAGCGTAGTTCCGGCGCTTTCCCGCCGCCCCTTCACCCTCACCGCTTCCACAAATCCCTCCCCGCGTGGAGCAGGTCACCTTCTCTGGGGGACACCTTGTTCTCCCCTCCTCAGTCCCACCCCCAAGGAAAGTGCGCTTCTCTTGGATTCGGGTCTCTATTAAATTGGGACTTGAGTCAGTAGATCTCCCGGCTATGCCGAAATCTGGGCTCCAGGGAAATCTGGCCTCCGAATGGTGAGGCGGAGGGAGAAGCACTCAGGCTTTGACTGCATCTCCAGACTTAAAAGGGCTTGCGGTGGGAGTGCTGCCCAGGGAAGTGCTTCCAGCTTTTTTTAAAAAAAAAGCACGAGCCAGGTGGAGAGACCGCAGGGCCGGAAGGCCCCAAGTTTCCCAGAAACAAACATGGAGCGTCTCACGGGGACGCCAGACTCACCTCTGTAGGAGGCTGGGAGCGGGGATTCAACGTCTGTAGTAACTTTCAGGCTTCACGGGCGTAGGAAGAACTGAAAAGTCAAATTTCAACCCCAAAAGCCGAATCTTGGAAGGACCACGTGAACTTCCCTATTCCCAGCCGCGTTCGCGTCAGGAAGATACTGCGCATGCTCCTTAGGTCGGCAGATGGGCGGAGTTAGAGTTTGGGCCCAGCACCTCCTAAGTGAGGAGGGCAAGTACGGAGGAGGGAGGGGGCCCGGGAGGTGGGGTACGGCGAAGTTTGAAAAGAACCAGTCCCGTGCTGAGATGAGGAGTGCAGGGAAAGGGCAGTCACAGGGTTGCGGCTTGGGCTCCATTCCAGCTAGCTCACCTTGATTGTAGCCTTCATCGTTCACTGCTTTTCCTTAATCCACATAATTATTACTAAAATTGGTAACATATCTTTTCAAAATTACTATTTTGGTGACCCTCCAATGATTACATTTTGCCTAAGATCTTTGCCACCCCTTGCAATTTTCCCCAGGAGTGTCACCTTCCTGAGTCTGTCTATAAAATGGCTCTGGGAGGGAAAAGGGCAGGTTCTGGGGATTGAGACTGAACACAGTGCTAGGGACAGGAGGCAGCACCTGACGAAAGACCAGGCAAGTGCAGTGTCAATTAAGTAGTGAATGAGTGCCATGTATGGACGCTGGGTAGAGGCCTGAATTTCTAGAAGCTTGGCTTCCAAAGTATCTTTTTCACCTTTAAAAAGGCTGCTATTGAGCCCTGGCTGGTGTGGCCCAGTGGATTGAGCACTAGCCTGCGAATCAAAGGGCAGTCTCACTTAGGGCATGTGCCTGGGTTGCAGGTCAGGTCCCCAGTTGGGGGCTTGTGGGGGGCAACCACACACTGATGTTTCTCTCCCTCTCTTTCTCCCTTACCCTCTCTAAAAATAAATAAATAAGATCTTTTAAAAAATGCTGCTATTGAAATCAGAAAAGTTGGCATTCATTTTGCCTGTCCCCACTGAAACCAAAAAGTGAGACAAGGATTGAATCTTTATGGCGGTTTTATGCAGGTGGCTGGAGATCTGAGAAGATGGTGGGTTATGTATCCTAACAGACCGTCTTACATTTCATTTTAAGTCAGCCTTTGTTATGAGGAGAGAAAAAGTGTATGTAAGGTGTTTAAAATGGGGTGGGGGAGGAATGTAGATAAATGGTTTCTGATTAATGGTTGATGAGTTAAAAGCTGCAGTGCAGCAATCTATCATCCTTTCATCTGTTAACAGGTGGTTATTTATTTACTTACTTAAATATATTTTATTGATTATGCCATTACAATTGTTCTATTTCCCCCTTCATTCCCCTCCACCCTGCACACCCCGCCCCCACCGTTCCCCCCTTTAGTTTATGACCACGTGTCTCAAGTTCTTTAGATTCTTTATCTCCCCTACTATTCTTGCCCTACCCCCTATCTATTTTCTACCTACCATCTATGCTACTTATTTTCTGTACCTTCTCCCCCCTTCTCCTCTTCCCACTCCCCTGTTGCTAACCCTCCATGAGATCTTCATTTCTATGGTTCTACTCCTGATCTAGCTGTCCTTTTAGCTTGCTTTTGTTTTCGCTGTGGTTGTTAATAACTGTGAGTTTGCTGTCCTTTCACTGTTCATCTTTTTTACCTTCTTTTTCTCAGATAAGTCTCTTTAACATTTCATATAATAAGGGCTTGGTGATGATGAACTCCTTGAAATTGATCTTATCTGAGAAGCACTTTATCTGCCCTTCCATTCTAAGTGAAAGCTTTGCTGGATAGAGCAATCTTGGTTGTAGGTCTTTGGATTTCATGACTTGGAATACTTTCCAGCCCTTTCTTGCCTGTAAGGTCTCTTTTGAGAAATCCGCTGACAGTCTGATGGGAACTCTTTTGTAGGTGACTGTCCCCTTTTCCCTTGCTGCTTCTAGGATTCTCTCCTTCACTTTAATCTTGGCTAATGTAATTATGATGTGCCTTGGTGTGTTCCTTCTTGGGTCCAACTTCTTTGGAACTCTCTGAGCTTCCTGGATTTCCTGGAAGTCTATTTCCTTTGCCAGATTGGGGAAATTCTCCTTTATTACTTGTTCAAATAAGTTTTCCACTGGTGGCTGTTCCTTTTCCCCTTCTGGTACCCCTATAATTCAAATGTTGGAACATTTAAAGATGTCCTAGAGGTTTCTAAGCCTCTCCTCATTATTTTGAATTCTTGTTTCTTCATCCTTTTGTGTTTGGTCATTTTTTCTTCCTTCTGGTCCACTCCCTTGATTTGAGTCCCAGTTTCCTTTCCATCAGTATTGGTGTCCTGTGCATTTCCCTTCATTTCAATTAGTTTAGCCTTCATATGTTCCTCTAATTTGTGACTAAAATCAACCAGTTCTGTGAGCATCCTGATCACCAGTGTTTTGAACTGTGCATCTGAAAGTTTGGGTATCTCTTGGTTGCTTAGAGTTATGGGCTCTGGGCCTTTGAGTTCTTCTTGAGCCATGTTTTGGTCTGTTTGCACCTGTTACGTATGAGAAGAGGAGCCTTAGATGTTCACCAGGGCGAGGCCACCCAGGTCGCTGGGTTGTGATGTTGTATGTGGGGGCAAGGTAAAAGGGGGGCAATAGCGGTCCCCTTTGCTGCTTCCCGCTGCTGGGGCCTGCACGGTCCATCTCACTGCTCACTCCTTTGCCGGTTTATCTGCGAGTGAATGTGTGACTTTGGTTAGCCTGCCGCCTTGCACCCTCAGTGGGTCCACCCGTTGTTGCTACTCCACACCTGGGATCCACCCACGGCTGCCTGCGTGCCTGGGTCACGTGCCTGGGTTGGTCCAGTGGATCTTTCCTGCCTGATCCCGCTCTGCTGCTGGCTTCGCCCCTCTTACCCGTCTGGCTGAAAGGCTCGTTGTTGTCAGATTTTCGTATAGTTCAATTTTCTGTGGTTTGGCTGCGTTTTTGTTGCTAAAACTTGGTTGTTTTTAAACTTGGTAGTGAGAGAAGGCACAGTGTCTCCGCCTACGCCTCCATCTTGGCAGAAGTCTGACAGGTGGTTTTTTAATCCATGTTCTGTGCAGCAAGGTCTCTCTCCCTGGGCTTGGATACCATCTTAATTGCTTCCAGTCCTCCTGGGGCAGTGAAGTTCAATTGCTTGTGGTCCCGGACTCCAGGTGGGTCATATCTTCAGTTCCTGAAACAATAGCTTTAAGTGTGTGTGTGTGTGTGTATGTGTATGTACATAAACATTTTCTTTAGTCATTCATGGCTTCTCAGCTTTTAGGCTAAGATCAAATGTAGTATCTGTTCTAATCAGTTTAATATCTGATACGTCGTCTATCCAAGAACATAATATTAAATGGATTTTTGGAGCTGGGAGATGGAATAGAAGGTAGCTCTGTCCACTCTGTGCATTGACTTGTATTGCAGTACTTTTGGGAACGGTGCACCAGAAAAGATTTTATATATTCCTTTTTAGAGAGGAAGAGACGGAGAGAAACATCACTGTGTATTTGCCTCTTGTGTGCTTCCCACTGGGGACCTGGCCTGCAACCTGGGTATGTGACCTGACTGAGAATGGAATCAGAAACCACTTGCTTCACAAGCTGACACTCAATCCACTGAGCCACACCAGCCAGGGCTTAAGTATATTTTATTGATTATTCTATTATGTTTGTCCCATTTCCTAATCCTTCTCTGACCTACACCACCTTCCCTCTAGCATCCCTGCCCCCCGACCCCACTTAGTTCCATGGGTCATACAGATAAATTCTTTGGCTTTTCCATTTCCTATACTATTTTTAACCTTCTCCTGTCTATTTTGTATCTACCACTTATGCTTCCTATTCCCTGCATCTGTTTTCCCCATTCTCTCCTCACCACCTCCCTGCTGATAACCCTCCACGTGAACTACATTTCTGTGAATCTGTTCCTCTGCTAGTTGTTGGTTTAGTTTGTTTTTGTTTTTGTTTTTGGTTCAGTTTTTCATAGTTGTGTTTGTTGTCATTTTACTGTTCATAGTTTTGATCTCCTTTTTCTTGGATAAGTCCCTTTAGCATTTCATATCATAAGAGCTTGGTAATGATGAACTCCTTTAACTTGACCTTTTCTGTGAAGCATTTTATCTGCCTCTCTATTATTAAAAAAACACATTATTTATTTTTTAGAGAGGGGGAAGGGAGGGAGAAAGAGAGGGAAAGAAATATCAACGTGTGGTTGGCTTTTGTACACCTCCAACTGGGGACCTAGCCTGAAACCCAGCAATTTGTCCTGACTGGGAATCAAACTAGCAACCCTTTGGTTTGCAGGCTGGCAGTCAGTCCACTGAGCCACACCAGCCAGGGCTGCCTTTCTATCCTAAATGATAGCTTTGCTGGATAATCTAGGTTGTAGGTCCTTGCTTTTCATGACTTTGAATACTTCTTTCCAGCCTACCTCTGTAACTTTCTAAATGAACGTTGTCTAATAGTTTGGAAAAAAAAGTCCTTAATGTTGCCCCAGCTAGAGAGTGCAACTCTTGTCAACTGTGCTAAAAAGTGTTTTGTGCTTTATCATAGCTTGTTGTTGCATACAATGTGCCTCCTTATGTGGATCTGCAATTAAATGTATTCCTAAGCCCCCTACCAGATGGTCTAATGACAGGATACGTGCCTACAACAAAATGAATATTTGCATATGAAATGGATCTCATAGAAATAAGATAGTTCAAACTAACAGTGGGGGAATGATGGGAGACTCAAATGTTGGAAAAATTTTAGTTTCAGGTAATGGTTAATAAGCTTTGCAATCAATGTTTGTAAAAAGCTGTTGTTTCAGGAACTGAAGGCGACTTCAGCATCTTCACTCCAGGGACCATAAGCAGTTCCACCTTTGTGCCTCTGGAGGACTGCAGGCAATCAAGATGGTATCTGAGCCATTGTACTCCAGGGTGAGACACCCACTGACAAAACAGATGAAAACCATTGCCTAGGTCACAGATAAAAGAATGCTGCAGCTTTTATGTGCTCAACTATTCCCCTGAATACCAAACCCCTTAACTACACTTTTCCCCTCATAAAAAGGGCTGGCCTGAAATGAAATGTAAGACATTCTCTCGGGTACATAACCCAAAGTTTTCTCAGATCGCTGGTCATGTAAATAAAGCCGCCCATACAGAGTCAATTTCTGTCTGTACTTACTGGGTCTAGTGGTGTCAAGCAACACAAACATCAACTTTTCTCGTTTCATAACAGAATTTTTAAACCTGGAAAAGAATCTCTGGAGGCAGAGCCCATGGAATTCAGGCCTCTTCCCAGGCAGTTCCACAAGGTGGCACTCATTCACTTTCTAATTGTCACAGCTTGTATGGATTCTGGTCAGGTTGCCTGCCTTGTTTTAGAGAATCTGCCCAGACTCCCCAGAACGCCCACTTTTCCCTCCCAGTGCCCTTTTGTTTGAGAAAGGTGAGAGTCCAGAGGGAAGGTTACATTGTGTGATAAAGATCTTAGAGAAAATTTAATCATTGTAGGATCACCAAAATACTTGTTTTGAAAAGAACTCGAACAAATTTTAGGAATAATTATGTGGATAAATGAATGACCAAGGACCATTTATAACCAAGGAGATCAAGGTGGAATGGAGCCCAGACCACGCCATTAAGTCTGCCCCCGTCCTCCATTCATCTTATCCCTAGCTTGGCCTTTTTCAAGCCTGGCCTCTAACCCCTCCGCCTGTACTCTTTGCGGAAGCGCTCAGCTGAGGCTCAGACCGGCCCATCGGTGTTTTGAGTGAGGAGCATGCGCAGTGTCTTTCAGACTTGGAACGGACTGGAGAAACAAAAGGTCAGGCGATTCTTCCTGCTTTGGGTTTTCCTAGTTGAAGGTTAAATTTCCTAAGCAGGGAAAGGCTGAGGGTCACTACAGACGTTGAAATCCCTTCCCGAGCCTCCTACAGCAGTGAGTCGGGGTTCCCTGTGAGACCCTGAGGCGCGGACTGCTCTGCGTTCTTTTGTACCCCTCCCCCAGCCTTGTCAGTCTCCGCTGATGGCACTCCGACTCGGGGATCTGCGGTCCGCCCCACCTGAGACCGCCTCGTCCCCCATTAAATAAGAGGCCCGAATTCCAGGAAGAGCACACTTTACATAGGGTGGGTCCTAAGTGGGGAAATCAAGTTGTCCCGGGGAGAGGTGATCAGCCCCACGTGGGGAGGGGCTTTGTGGAAGCGGTGATGGTGAAGGGGCGGCTGGGAAAGCGGCGGAATGAGGCAGTGAGCGGATCCGGAGGACTAAGAGAGACTGACACGTGAGGGGAAGAAAAGGTCCCTGAGGAACCGTAGGGGGAGGTGGGAGGGACGTAGGAGTGAAAGGGTCAGTGGGGAAAGGAGTCGGAAGAGGAAGACGGGAGAAATGCCGAGAATACGGGGGACCCCCAGAGAGACTAGGGGAGCTGACAGGGAGAGGGGCCTGCGAGCAGACGTGGGGGCAGCAAAGAGCGAGGCGCTTTAGGCGGAGGAAGTGTTTCTGAGGGGACGAGTTAGGGAGTGAGAGCAAGGACGGAAAGGGGGTTTGGGCGTGACGGATCGGAGTGAGAAACAGCACCAAGAGTCAGCCCGCTCGTGGGGTGGCGGTGGGGTGACAGTAAAGACTAGGGCAGCAGAGGGGACACCAGTGTGGAGGGAAGGGCGGTAGGCAGATGGGAGCAATCAGAAACATCGGGAGAAAATGCAGCTGAAATAAGTTTCAGTTGTTTAATAGAACACGTGTAGGTACGGCAATAGAGAAAAGGCAAGAAAGAGCAGAGGAGGTTGGAGGGGAAACAGGAAAGGACAAAAATGCCGGAAACAGGGAAGAGACGGAAACAGATCCATACGCAGAAATATAGTACCAGGAAGAAGGGGAACCTGGATGTGGATGATTAAGTTGTGAGATATCAGCTTGTGGTTTAACATTTGCTAATTTTTTTCTTAAATACATTTGAATTAGAATTATAAATCTTCACTTTATAGGGCTTGTGAATTTTGTAATTATTTGCTCTCACATGATGTTTTTTCCGGGAATATTAAAACCATTGGGTCTCTCCCCCCTTTATTATACTTGCTTTTTTCCTACTATCTCTCACATTGAATTTATCTTTAAAAAACATATTGAGATAAATATTAGTCTGTTGGGTATCTTTTCTGTAAATAGTCATTAACTTTTAAAATAAGCATTGGTGTTATCTATTTTTTTAATTTTATTTCTTTTCAAGAGGGGGAAAGGGAGGGAGAAGGAGAGGGAAACATCAATTTGTGAGAGAAACATCAGTCAGCAGCCTCTTGCACACCCCCAATTGGGGCCCCTTCCCATAACCCAGGCATGTGCCCTGACTGGGAATTGAACCATGATCCTTTGGTCTGCAGGCCTGTGCTCAATACACTGAGCTACACCAGCCAGGGCTATTTTTAATTTTTTAAAAAGATTTTATTTAAATATTTTTAGAAGAGGAGGGAGGGAGAAAGGGAAAGAAACATTAATATGTAGTTGCCTCTTCTGCGCCCTCTACTGGGAACCTTATGCACAACCGAAGCGTGTTCCCTGAGTGGGAATCAAACCAGCGACCCTTTGGTTCACAGGCTGACACTCAGTTCACTGAGCCATACCAGCCAGTGCGGGAGTCTGTTATTTTAGAAGTTTTTGCCCTAAATCCTCACAGTACCCAAAGATCTGAACTGTGCTGGTTCTGATATCTCTGGTCCAGTGACACAGAAGACAGTTCTGGAGAAGTAATGCAGGCACCAGGATGGAACTAGATGAAGATACTATTTCATGGGCTGCATTGCAGACCTGTAAAATTATAGCTTGGGGGGGGGGCTCCTTATTCCCTAGGGGTCTGATGGTTGTTAAAGCTACACTGTTTCCCTTCAGGTTCCTATTACATCACTGAGAATTTTGAGAAATGTCATCCACAGAGCTGTACAACTGCTCTGGGTGGAGCATCATTGTTTATTAAGGTGCTCCAGGTTATGCTAAGGTGCAGCCAGGAATTTGTAGGAGTGCTTTGGGATGCATTTTTTAAAAAATAATCATTCATGGATATACTTATTGATTATAGAAACAGGAAAAGAGAGAGAAACATTGATGTGAAAGAGAAATATCGACGGGCTTTCTCCCACATGCATCTCGAAGGGTATAGGACCTGTAACCTAGGTAAGTTCCTTGACCAGCAATCAAACTCACAAAGTTTTGGTGTCAAGAAGGTGTCAAGAGACAGTCAAGAAGGGCCCTTGCAACTTAGCAGAAAGAAAGGACAAAGATAATCATTAGGTTGAAAGGGAAGGAGAAGAGGGAAGAAAAGGTATGCTGGCATGCCATTGTAAGAGCTGTGAGCAGACTGGTCAGTGGAGAGAGTGGGGTGCTCTGCTGGGTTTGGAGTTCAGGAGAGCAGCATGCATTCTCATTGCTGTATGAGTTTATGTGGACCTAAGTCTAGGGGGAGAGCACCTGAGAGAAAGAAAGAGAAAACTGCCAGCGTGCTCTCTATTTACGAGCTTACTGTTCCTGACTCTCCTGTGACAAAGGACGAGGGAGGATAACCTTTCCAGCATTTTCAGGTCCTTCTGCTTGTGACTGTGCTAGAAGCAGATTGAAAAGCTGTGTGAAAACCTTCAAAGCCATATCCTCAAAAAGAGACGTGAATTACTCAGCATATCGTCACCTGAGAATACATCCTGGAGCAGGACCAGGACAACATGGCTGCTTCTCAGGTAAACAGCGTATCCTGGGTCAGAAGCTATGTTTGTTTTTCTACCTAATATGAGTGGATTTAAAACCTGCAAAATTTATTTCTCTGTTTCTGATGTGAGGTTATTTTTACCTACTTTTTTTCTTCTTACGATTATTAAGGTCACCAGTTTATATACTTCTCCCCTTTGTCCCAGAGCCTGTATTATCTTCATCCAGGCTGCCAAAGGCCATGAAGAATTTCCACCTGTAATTAATGATCTTCAGTTACTAAAAACATCCCCTCTGTGACAGATCAACCTGGGAAGGCACCCATATCCAGCACCCCTGTTGGGATGGGCTCAGAGGCTTGGGTATTGGTGGAGAAGGGAATGTAGGTTTAGGTTCATGTGTTTGCAGAATCAACTCTGTAAAACAGGGATAAAAAGTGCTTATTTTACTGATCAGGATTGCTCAGAAAGTTCTGACAAAGAGGAGTAGATAGAAGAGACTTGCTTACTAGTTTGGCACAAAAGTCTTTCTGTTTAAATGTACTCACTATTTAAGTGCCCTGGCTGGCGTGGCTCAGTGGATTGAGCACTGGACTGTGAACCAAAGGGTCACTGGTTCCATTCGCAGTCAGGGCACATGCCTGGGTTGCCAGCCAGGTCCCCAGTAGAAGGCACGTGAGAGACAACCACACATTGATGTTTCTCTCCTCTTTCTCCTTCCCTTCTCTCTAAAAATGAATATAATCTTTAAAAAATAAAGTAAAAATAAATATACTACAGTATTTGTGTTTGACATGTGAGAGGTACATGTGCATTGACATTTGCAAAAAATAACGTTTGTGATTATTTTCACATAATGATTTTTAAAATTTTTTTAAAAAGATTATAAGAAAATATTTTATACAGAGGGGACGAGAGGGAGATAAAGATGGAAAGGAACATTGATGTGCAAGAGGAACATCTATCCGTTGCCTCTTGCATGTCCCCTACCAGTGACATGGCCTATAACCCTGGCCTGGGCTGAGAATGGGTTTGAACCATTGACCTTTGGTTTTGCAGGCCAGCACTCAATAGCAAGGCCAGTCATTCTTTATTTGTGTTTTTTTTCTCTTCAGTAATGTCACAGAAGTGATGACATGTCTTTCCATGTGCTTAAGTCACCTGATACCCATTGTTATAGTCTACCTGGTATTCATTTGGCTGAGGTGGTCTCTTCACTATATAGTCAATAGTTCTTCTTCATTATTAACAAGGGCCTAGCAGGGAATTATTGAGAAATTTGAAAAAACCATTACATTTTATCTGGAAACAACCCTCTCTTAGTTTTTGTTTGCTTTGGAAGACGAAGCCCCTATGTTTATTTCTTAGGTATCATTGGCTTTTGATATGGAAGATAAAATCAGTCAGGGTTGTTCCTGTAAGTTTTCATTATATTCCACACTCATTTCACAG